AGAACCTAAGAGGAGAAAGAAATGGGACTGAGCTAGAGGAAAGGAGAGGAGAAGAAAACAAGCATTGATTGAATACCTACTATGTGTTGGGCATTGTGCTAAGTGCTTTACACATCTGGTCCTCACATCTGATCTTCACAATAACTAGGGGAGGTAAATGTTGTTATTATCCACATGTTACGTTGGAGGAAACTCAAGCAGACAGAGATTTAATGACTTACCCAGGGCTCTGCAGCCCAGCTCTCCAGTCACTGCACCACCTAACTGCCTCTAGAAATAGACTGAAGAGATACCAAAGTAAAAGGTTGAACTAGATGACCACCATGACCCCTTCCAGCTCTGAAGGTATGAGCCTATGATGAGATAAAAGGGAAGGAGGTAGGTGGGAAGGAACAGATAGCAGCGAATAGACTCAAGACTGGGAAAGGAATGATAAGGGCTTAACGCTAAACTCTAAAGGGCTGGTGGGAAATAGAGAGACATCTTGGAGCAGATCTGGTGACTGCTTGCCAAACTAAATAGATGTGCCAGATGACGGGCACAAATCACAAAGAACGAACATGATGGAGTGTAAAAAAATACATAAAATATAATCTCACTCAACACTTATGCATGCCAAACATTCTGCTGCTCCCCAGAGAAAGAAGATATGCTGCCCAGATGGGACATGAAATGGGCTTGGAAGGGGCAGGAGAGAGCCTTAAGTCATTGCTTAAGGCGACAACTGAGAAGGCAGAATTACTCCTCCAGCTGTGGTTCCTTTCACTGGGCAATACCAGCATCTGAACTCAACAAATACGAAAGTGTGCCACAGTAGAAAGAGCATTAGCTCTTGAATTAGAGGACCTGGGTTCAAATCCTGCCTTGGAAATTTTGGACAGCTAGGTGGTGCAGTAGATAGAGCAGCTGGGTGATGCCATAGCAAATAGAGCAGTGGGGCTGGAGTCAGGAAGCTTCCTTTTTGTGAGTTCAAATTTGACCTCAGACACTTACTAATTGTGTGACCCTGGACAAGTCACTTAACCCTGTTTGTCTCAGTTTTCTCATCTGTAAAATGAGCTGGAGAAGAAAATGGTAAACCACTATAGTATCTCTGTCAAGAAAATTCCAAATGGGGTCACAAAGAATCTGAAACAACTGAGCAAGAACCCCATGTGACTTTAGGTAAGTCCCTTGACCTCACTGGGCATCAGTCTCCTCCTCTGTAAAAGGAAGGAGTTGGGCTAGAGGGTCTCTGAAGCCTCTTCTATGTTGAGACCTATGATCTGATTTCCATCACGGTCCAGAAATCATGGTACGTCCAGCTGGTGGCATGACCAGGGGCAATGGAATGGAAAAAACACCAGACTTTTATTTTCCCTTAACTACCTTTTATGTAGAGATGTACTTCTCTTTGTGTCTCATCAAATTGGGCCAGCAAAGTCAATGAAGCTCCTAGGTTGGAAATTTCATTAAGTAAACTGAGTCAAGAAAATGGCATACAGATAAGCCCCAATTTACAAAGTTCCTTAGAAATGAATGGCCATTTAGGAATCATAGTGTCAGCCAAGGGACCACAGAAATGTCCTTTCCCTTCTATCTGTCACCAAAGTACCTGACACATCGTATGTGCTTGAAAAATGGTTGTTGATTGATTGATTAACTTGGGATCTCTCTTCTTTTCTCTCATGTAGTTACAGACACCATTAGTACCTGGGATGCCTAGTTCCTGCCTCTCTCTTCATTCCAGTCCAGGGCAGGCATAATAGTGGATGCAGGTGAAAGAAGAAAAGAAATTACGGCTGTACCATTATGGCTACTGTGGGTCAGTGGAGGAAGCTGGGAAGAACATGAGCTGAAATTAGAGGATCTGAATTTAGATTTCACTTCTGAGGCTTCTTTATTACCTGTGGAACCTGGGCAAAGCACTGAACCTCCAGGGGGCCTCAGTTCTCTTATGTATAAAATAAAAGAGTTGCTCTATCCACTTTGAGGTTCCTGGCTCTAGACCTATGATCCTATTTCCCATAGAAGCTGAAAGAGAGAAGATAGGGGGAGACAGGTGGGGTGAGAGAGGTGAGGAGAGGGAGAGGGAGAGAGAGAGGGAGAGGGAAAGAGAAGAAGGAGAAGGAGAAGGAGAAGAAGAAGAAGAAGAAGAAGAAGAAGAAGAAGAAGAAAGAGGAGGAGGAGGAGGAGGAGGAGGAGAAGGAGAAGGAGGAGAAGGAGGAGAAGGAGAAGGAGAAGGAGGAGAAGGAGAAGGAGAAGGAGGAGAAGGAGAAGGAGAAGGAGAAGGAGAAGGAGAAGGAGAAGGAGGAGGAGAAGAAGGAGAAGGAGAAGGAGAAGGAGAAGAGGAAGAAGAGGAGGAAGAAGAGGAAGAAGAGGAAGAGGAGGAGAGGAAGAGAGAAAAGGAGAGAAGAGAAAGAAGAAAGAGAAAAAAAGAAAAAGAGGGGCAGCTAGGTGGCTCAGTGGATAGAGCACTGGTCCTGGAGCCAGGAAAGCCTGAGTTCAAATCTGGCCCCAGACACATAACACTCACTAGCTGTGTGACCCTAGGAAAGTCACTTACCCCCAACTGCCTCACCAAAAAAAAGAAAAAGAAAAAAGAAAAGAAAAAGAGAAGAGAGAAAAGAAGAGGAAGAGAGAGAGAAAAAGACACAGAGAAGGATTGTAGGTAGTGGGGGAAAGCAGAGCTTTTTACAAAAAAATTCCCTGGTTCTTACTATTTCTTGTGGCAAAACAAATGAAAAATCCTTAGAAAGGCTCAAAAGAATGACATGCTTATTTTATTTTATTTTGTTTTATTTTTAGGCAATTGGGGTTAAGTGACTTGCCCAGGGTCACACAGCTAGTAAGTGTCAAGTGTTTGATCTGAGGCTGGATTTGAACTCAGGTCCTCCTGACTTCAGGAGTTGGTGCTCTATCCACTGCACCACCTAGCTGCCCCTCCACTGTGCCACCTAGCTGCCCCTAACATGCTTATTTTAGACTGTATTTTTTTTATCACTTTGGTGTACCCTCAAGTTGCTAATGGCCTTCTTTATTTTCTCTTATGAGGAAACCAATGGATACCATGGACTGCCTCATGGTTATTCCTTGTTCCCTTCACAAAGGCTCACAGGTCATAGATCTAGAGTTGTAAAAGACCTTCAGGTTATCTGGTCTCACCACCTGACTTTACTTGAGAAAACTGAGGCCCAGAGAAGTAAAAACAAAACAAAACAGAACAAAAACAAAAAAACCTTGCCCAAGGCCATATGGGTAGGAAGAAGGAGACAATTCAATCTAGGCAACTACATATTGGGAAGTTCAGAGGCAAAGCAAAGAATGTAGAGAAAGGAGCAGCTGGGTCCTCCAGCTCACAGGCTGAAGGAGGAGAGCCAAGATTTGAACCCAGGTCTCTGACTCCAAAGCCAGCACTTTTCCTACTGTACCATCCTCTGTGCCCAATTACTAGCCTGTCATTTTTCCCTTATGTATGCTTTTGAGGATACCTTTTATACTATTCCTTTGAAATTCTATTTCTATAACGTGTAGGTCTCTCCATTGTCCTTTGGATGCCCATTTTAAGAGGCTTTGAGGGAAACCCTCAGAACCTAACCCCTATGACTAAAGTTGTTTCTATGGGAAATAACTTTTAATTTAGGAACATGCTTTTGAAGTAAATTTTAAAATAATCCAGGAGTTGTTGGGAGGTGGACTAGAGGGTCCACTGAGGAACCTTCCAGTTCTAGACCTATGATCCTGTGACACAGCAGTACCATAAATTGGGAAATTAACATTTGTAAAAAGTTGAGAATTTCTGGGTTTTTTCTTCTTTTACCCAAATACCAATGACTCTCCCCAACCCATAGTTGGGGGAAGCAAACTAGCGGCGCTACCATTTCTGATTTTGTAAAATGAAGAGATCTAAGGGAGCCCGTCATGGTGCTTGCCTAATGGGTTGGCCAAAGGAAGCAAAATTAAAGCAAATAAAACTATATTGGAAAGAAGAATGTAAGACAAAATTGGAAAGCAAATAATGGCTATGGAGACTAGAGAAAGAGTGAGAGGAAAAGTGGATCAACTCGGCAAACATGGAGCCAAACTGGCCATCCACTATGAGAAGCAAAAGTGGTCCAGCATTCCTGTTGACTCCATGCAGGAATATAAGCATATAGATTTAAAACTAGAAGAGGTCTAAAAGCCATCCAGTCTAATTCCTTCATTTTACAGATGAGGAAACTAAGACCTAGAGGGGCAAAGGAACTCAGGTCCTGTGGCTTGAAATCTGATGTCCCTTTTACTCTATTGTGCTGTACATGCCTTCGCTCACTCACGCTTTCACAGCATATTCACAAATTTGCATTCCGGCAAAAGTCTCATTTGGGAAAGGCAACTTTCCATTTTCATTCCCACATCCACAGAGAGATCCAAATCATTTCATCAGATGGCCATACCAGCTGTAGGGGCAGCAACCTGACCACGCAATTAGCCAGAAAATTCTGTTCACAGTAGAAGTCTTAAAACATATAGCATATAGTAACTATTCTAAACTACTCATCTTCTCCAGTTTAGGAGATGAGGTTTGTGGCAATAGGATTTGAAAAGAAAGTCTATATATACAGTTTGTTGAGAAATTTAGATTTTCAATCAGGCCCAAACCAAGAAACATGTATGTGTGTTTGTGTGTGTGTGTGTGTGTGTGTGTATATATATATATTTTTAATTTTTCCTTTTCTTAGCTTGGAAAATGAACAGATCCTAAAACAAATGCTGAATTAAGTCAAAGAAATTATCAATTCACTGTTATGTTCTATTTCATCCTTATGTTTCAATCTGACTTTAGAAAAGTACATGTCCATTTTAAGACTTTGGAAAATCTCTCTGAACAGAATTATGGTTAGTTATAGTACTAGAGGCATGTGAAACATATCCCTAAAAGAGTTATTTGCATCAGATGATCAAAGAAAATAAGGCTACACATATCCAGAAAGAGTTGAAATTCCTAATGATTGATAGAATCCCTGGGAGATGGCACCCACCAGTGGGGGCTCAGAGTCGTGGTGTCTGGCAAACCTCACATCAGGAGTGCTCAATGACATGATTCTCTTGCCATTCATGGGCCCAACAGTGACAGCTTTCTTACTGCAAGGAGCTTGCAAAGGAAGTAGGGATGAACAGCAAGAAGGGCTAGAAAATGGTATCATTGGAATCCATGAGGATTTCCCATTGGCTACATGGTTACTCCTGAAGGCTGCCGGAAGAGGAGCTAGATCTGCAGGGTGGGCATAGGCCAAGAAGTTCTGTGAGGAGGACAAATGGAAACCTGAAAATAAAGGGGCCAATGTGGATAAATTCAGGTGAGATCGTGCTTGGTAGAGACCTAAGGAAGGAAGAAGAAATTGCTCCAGGCTTTTCTCTGTCTTCCTTTGAATATGTGCATGGAAAAGCTGTGTTGGAGAGAGAAGAAATTTTGGGTTGCTTCTCCAGGGAATGAGGTGATTTTCAAGAAGCACTTTCTTATTCACTCTTCTGAAGTCATACTTGGGGCTGGAAACACTTAGATTAAAGTGTTCAGGCCCCAAGGAGATGTCACCGAGGGATCTTACATTCCTAAGAGGAGAAAAGGCACTTGTAAATATGTATGAGTTCATAGACTTTCTTCCCCAGATCCCAGTGGGTTCTCCAAAATCCTTCCAAATTCTCCTATTGGCCAAACCAGGGCCCATTATTTTGGAAATACTTGGAGAGGAAGCAGCGATGAGCTCAGTGCCTGCATCCCTACATGGGCCATGTTCTTGTGAGTGAGATCGTTTGGGGCATGTTACCACTATAGTCCTTGTGGCTTCTCGAGACTTCAGCTCTTGCTCTTGAAGGCCAAGCTTAGCCTGACCAGTGGTTATGGCTTTCTTCTGTGTTGGATGCTGCTCTACCAGGTGTCTTGATTTGGAATTCTTTGTGACCACAGGAGCCACTGACATCACGGCAGTGGAAGATAATCCATTAGCTTTCTGAGCACCTGCCTTAGGCATAGGGCGTGATTCAGGCTTAACCAAGGGTATCAGCTTGGCATAGGTAGTAGAAGGCTCTGTAGTGGGTGACAGTGACATATCTCTCCTGGTCACAAGGCATGCCAGCTGCTGGCTGACAGCACAGTGGGTCCACTTAGCTGGAAGAATGGGCGAGTTATTAAGGGGCCATTTCTGTACCTGGGAGTAGATCACAAAATTGAACCATTAAAGCACAAAAACACCAAAAAGAAAGAAGCATTATTTATGAAGAGAGGGGATCATATGGATACAGGAAAACACAGGCTACGTCACCAGACAGTAGGGGAAAGGGACCTATTTCATGTGATTTTCTTCTAGTACATGTCAATAAGAAAATGGGCAATAGGGACACTAAGGGAGTCTATATTATGCATGTTTGTCATTCTTTTTTCCCCCTTGTTCCTGGATATGTAAAAAAATAAAATTATTTAATTTGCAGATCTAACTGCCAAGGATTATGTTTATTAATTCCACAGTCTACCAGTTTGGGGACAGAGGTTTACCAATGAGGAATATACAACAACAAATTAATCCCTTTCTAGCTTTAGACCAATTATGGGCAGTGTATCCCATGCATGAGTGGTAGCCACCTACAGCTAGAATTCTAGGAGAGATAAAACATGGTGTCCTGTGGACATGGCCTTATAAATTGCCCAGCCTACAAACAAAATGTTACCTTGGAATTCCATAAGAGAAAGGAATCTTTTCTACATATTACCATTAAAGATGACCATGAATAAGAAGGGGTGTTGAGTTAACTTCTCTCTGTCTCTGGTGGGATCCTTTTAAGGAATTGACTCATAACCAACTCAATTCTCCACCTGTGCAGGGTAGACCAAACTCAGCAAGTTTCAAAACCTTGGACCTTCCTTTCTTACCTCCTTGGCCCAGGCTGGCTTCTCACTGGGATTCATCCCTTCTTTGTAATGGTACAGTGGCTTCTTTTCTCCTGGCCTCTGGTCTTGACGCTGTTGCTGTTGCTGCTGTTGAAGAGACACCAAATAGTCCCTTTCCTGCTGGAGCTGCCTCTGCAGTCGTTCAGCCTGTCTCTGTTCTTCCAGCTGTTTGCGTTTATACTCCTGCCGGGAACGAGGGAGAAGAGGAACAGCAAAGGACAAAACGTCAGGCAGGTCAGTGGACACTGGAGGAGATCACAGTGGTTCTTGTAAGTCGACAAAGGAAGGAGATCGGTCGTGAACACAAACAACACTCATGAGTATCCAAACAGAGGGGTAGCGTGGGGACAGCTAACTGTCTTTTTTAAAAAAAAAATAGGACCCCTCCCTCCCAGTGCTATCCTTTGTCCCTCTTACCAGAGGCTTATTCCTGGATTGGAACCAGTTTAACTCTTGGATTTGGAGGCAGAAGGGACCTTGGAGGTCATCTCATCCAACCTACACATTTTACAGATGAAGAAACTGAGGCCCAGAGAGAGGGCTCAGCATCACATGGCTAACGTTATAGATTTTAGAATTAGAAAGGACCTTAGAGGTCATCTAGATCAATCCTGTCATTCTGAGCAATTTGGGATCCAGAGAAATTTAGTAACTTGCCAAAGCTCAGATAGGGAGTGTCACAGATTTAAAGTAGCAAAAGATCTTCTAGTCTAACTTCTGGTTTTCTAAGAGGAAACAGTCCCAGAGAAATTTAGAAACTTGACCAAGGTCACACAGGTGGAGTTGGAAGGGGCCTTAGAACTCATCTAGGCTGAACTTCTTAAATTACAGACAAAGAAACAGAGCCCTTGAGAGGTCACATATGAAGTCAGGAGCAAAGCTAGGATTCTAGCTGAGATCCTTGAACTCCAAATCCAACATAAGCTAACAAAATGGTAGCAATGCAGCAACGTGGTCCTGTCATTGCAGCCTACCTGGAATGGTTCACCTCCATTTCCCAATCTTGTCATTTAATCCAATCAAAGATCTACAATTAAATATAAACCTCAACAAAAAAAGTTGGAGTAGTATGTTATGGTGGATATAGAAGGTTAGTCTTTGGAGTCACGAAGAAATGGGTGTAAGTCCCATCTTTAATACGTTTTAAATATCTGTCCAAGGGCAAGGTCATTTAATTCTCAGTGTTATAGGCAACTCACTATGATTTATAAAAGACCATCAGTATGGTGGTCTGCAGCATATGGATGTTTCCCATGCTTGGAGCTCCCATTGTGGACTGTTTCTCAATATGATAGAAAATGTCATATGGATGTTTCCACATTGAAGAAAGCACGGGAAAACAGGTTTTGAGTTGGAGGGAATCCCAGAGGGCATCTAGTCCTAGCCCATTACTTTACAGATGGGGAAACTGAGGCCCCAAGAGGTACAGTTAAAATTACTTGCCCAAGGTTCTATTAAACAAGTCTACTTATAGAGTCACATTAAGAAAAAAAATGAAGGGATTTGCATATGTGTGTGTATGTATATATGTATGTGTGTGTATATGTATGTATATATGAATATAGGCTAACAACATTAACAAGCACATTTATAGAGTCAAAAGGTACAAGCAGAATGTCACTGAACAGAATTTTGATTTTAAAAAGAAAGTAAACAAAATCAAATCCAAGACTATTCAGGGCATGTTGTCACAATAAAATGTTTTTAAAAGTATTTCAAATGAGAGCAGTTTGAGCCAAGAACACAAAATGTTCCTAGCATAAAAGCAAAACTAATAGTCTACAAATGAAATATGGCCTTTGGATCTTGAAAATCTGAGTGGGTTTGCATCGAAGTGGTATGTTTTACTTGGAATTTGTTCCACATTGCTCGCAAATGGCTTTTGAGAGTCCCAAAGCAATAAATGCCATGGTCCTGAACACTGAACTTATAATGCAACCTGAATTTCCACAAAACTTTAACGAATAATAGGATTTAAGAAAGAACACAAAAATGTTATTCAATCTGGGTTTCCATAAATTATTAAAAATAAATTGGGTCAAAAAGAGGAAGTGGTGAGACAATGGGTAGAGTTTTGGGTATCAATGCCAAGAAGACCTATGTCCTGGGACTCAAGATGTATGACCTTGGGCAAGTCACTGAATCTCTAGATGTGTCTAAAGTTACAGGCTTGCATTTCTTCTGGTGTTGTGCATCTTCACTAGTGAAGAGAGTTCCCATGGTACAAGTCACCATTCACCTTTATCAAACTTAGCTCTTAGAAAGACGTTCACTCTTAATATACCTAAAGGTGTACTGATACTGAGAAGTAAATTTGCAAATCTAACTGCCAAGGATTATGTTTATTAATTCCACAGTCTACCAGTTTGGGGACAGAGGTTTACCAATGAGGAATATACAACAACAAATTAATCCCTTTCTAGCTTTAGACCAATTATGGGTATTGACAATTCACCTCCTGATCATCTCATGAAATTGATTAGGAAATTCCTAGATATAGATATAGACATAGACCTAAACACATGTACATACATACATACATACATGCATACACAATATATGTAAAATTAGGAATTTGTGAAATGACTTGCCTAAGGTCACACATGCATTAGATACAGAGCCAGGATTTGAACCCAGGTCCTCCAGTGACATTTTCAAGAGCAGAGCTTGGAGGACTCCTCCTGTGTTTTGCCCATTAGGTTTCCCTCTTGGAATGCATGCACATGTGAAGGAGGATGCAAGCACCCCCATGCAAATGCACACATCAAGGAACGACAAAGAGTGGGGGGGGGCTGGTGCTTGGGGACCCCATTACCAGAAGGAGGGCTTGCTCCTGCAGTAGCTGCTGCTGCAGGATCTCTAACTGCCTCTGCTCCTCCTCTAACTGTCTCCTGATGTACTCCTGGTGAGGCGGCCAGCAGGCAGTTCAGAGGAACAGAGACCAAGAGAGAGAGAAAGAAAGAACTAGTAATTTCACAAAGCAACAGAAGGTGGTGAGTGAAGTCCAGAAGGAGGCAGGGAGAGTGGAAAAAAGGAAAACACCCAAAGACCTCTTCAGCCAGCAAGAAGAAGACATTTCCCAAGCAAAGACATTTAGGTCAAAAGCACAAAACTTTTGTTCAAAAATGGCCAACTGAGATGGATTTCACAACAAATGGCCAGTGTTAAATAAACCCAGCTACATTTTGAAGCTTGTTCTCATAAGGTCCCAGTTTTGATGAGCTTACTAACATAAACCATGAAGTTTCTGGGCTTCATAACAGCTGATGGGGACAAACCAAGTGTTGCTGAGTGCTATCATCCACCCGGCGTTCTACTCGACTGCCCTCGTAGGCTGCGCCCTACATGGCGGAGATGGGCTTTAAATGGGGGTGGGAAGAGAAGGCCAATGAATGAGTTAAGCGCCACGTGGAGGAAAGCTTGGGCAAGTAGAACAGCTTCACTGAAGTCATGAAAGGGGAGAACTCATCTGGTTTTCAGAGCCACAGTCCCACTCACAAAGCATTAACAAAGGGACTGGGGGGACCAGAAGATCAAACTCATCTAGGATCTTACCCTTGGCCATTGAGGGGGAGACATATCAGGCTGTACATTAGACTTCTTGAGCCTGTGATAATTACGGCTGGTCACAAAGAGGGAAAAACAAAACCGCCCTCTTTTTTTTTTCAATGTAGCAGTCCCAGTGGAAATCACAACCAAGTGCCCCATGGACATCCAAGGGTTCCACTGAAGGGATCTCTTGGCACTGGCTTACCTGCTCATGTTCTGCCCGCCTCCTTTCTTCCTCACGGCGGATTTGTTCCTCATAGTGTCTACGCTGCTCTCTCTCCTGCTGTTTCCTCAGCTCCTTCTCTCTCCTTTGCTGCTATGGGAGGATAAACATACATCAAATGAAGTTGGTACTCATTGAGGGGGGGCACAAACCATACCAAGGGGTAGTTCTCTTACTGACAGGAGTAATCTGGAGGAACATCCATCTCCTTTGCTTCTTTCAAAGCTCAGCCCAGGTATCACCTCCTCTGTAAGGCCTCCCCTGATCTCCCAGTGGTTAGCGTTTGGCTTTTTCCTCCCTGAAATTAATTTCTACGGTTTTCTATTTATCTCCTTTTATATGTGTGGTTTTTCAGTCCAACAGAAGCTTCTCAAGAGTACAAACTGTTTTGCTTCTCTCTCTATACTCCCAGTGTCAGCCCAGTGCCTGGAACACAGTAGGACGTTAATAAATGTTTCCTGACTTGGATTGAATGTGATGGACAGTCCTGTGGACGCCCAGGGCTTGACCTGGTGCTCTCTGGCCCTAAAGGAAAAGAACGAGGAGCAATCACTAAATCTACCAGCCACCATGCTAGGTGATGGAGAGACAAAGATGAGAAAAAAGCAATCCCTATTTGCAAAGAGCGGATAACTTAATGGGAGATACGAGTCCATAATAGAAATATTTACAGAATAAATACAAAGTTGTTAGAGATTGGGGGTTGAAGAGGCAAAGAATCAGATTTTATAGGATCACAGGACATTTAGAGCTGGAATGATACTTAGAGACCATCTAGTCTAAATCCCTCATTTTACAAATGAGGAAACTGAGACCCAGGGATTCACCATGACTTGCCTGAGGTTACATAGGTGAACTTCTGGAAGTATATAAATATCTAAGGGATAAATACAAACAATGTTGTTAAATGTAAGAGTTAAGAAAGGAATGTACTAGTAGCTGGGGTGGGGAGAAAGGAAAGGCTTCCTATAGGAGGTGGTGATTGGGTGGAGTCTTGATTGTAAGAGGCAGAGGTGAAGAGGGTGTGAAATTCAGCCATAGGAGACAGTTGAAAGTGAGGGAGTTGGAAGACTGGATGTCACATGTGAAGAACAAGAGAAAACCAGTTTGGCTGGGTCACAAAGAGTGAGGGTGGAGTGATGTCCAACGAGTCTAGAGAGATAGGTTGGGGCAAAGCCATGAAGGGCTTTAAAAGCTAAATAGAAGTTTTAGGAAGGGAATGACCTATTCAGATGTACACTTAAGGAAAAATTCTCTGGCAGCAGTGGGGAGGAGGGAATGAAGCGGTGAGAGACTTGAGGAAGGGAAGGAGAATAACCTGTGAGTAGATGTGAGCTAGACCAAAAGAAGCCCAAGTTGCCACATGTGCAGAACAGTAACTTGTACACAGAAAAGACTTAATACAAATGTTTCTTGACTTGATTTAGTCATGGTGGCCTGTGAAGTCAGGCCCCGGAGTCAGAGCTGGAAATTGATTTCGGTTTCTGGTAGGAAGTTCAGAGAGTGCAGAGCTTGCAAAGAAGTGGGATGGACATTCTGCTTTATAATTCTCTTGGATGCTTCATTTCACACGACTGCCGATGCCCGGTTGGGAACATAACACCCAGGTCAGACGATGGCTCTGTCACACTGAGCGCCAAAAGAATAAATCAGACAGAACCCAGGGCACATTGACGCTAGTTCTTCGGCCATTTGTGGGCACAACCACCAAAACACAAAAGGCCAAAGGCAGAGGCTGAATGGCCTATCAGGATATCTTAATGTGCCTGCTGGCGTGATCCTTCCTTACTGCTGTGGCAGTCCTGCAAACTGTCTAATAAAGTTGGTAAGGTTTAAAAGAATATTTTTTTTCTCTTGTTTACTTGTCAGTCAACAATTACAAAAGAAAGGTTATTGCTTTTCCAGTAAAGAGTAACTGAGAAGATATTTCATGGTCACAAAAGCCTTTCCGTTGTTACTGGAGGTAGACAAAAACCAGTGACTGTGTGATTGAACCCAAGTTCTGTGTCACTGGAGAGAGTAATGTAACTAACACAACACCAGCACGATGTAACAGCTGCCAAACTGACCTTCCCAAAGCTCAGCTCGGCCCACGTCATACTCATGCTCAGAAACCTTTCTGTGGCTCCTGAAGGCCTCTAGGAAAAAAAATTCTAATTCTTTAGCCTGGCTTTGGAGGCTCTCTACTCTGCAGCTCACAGTTCTTTCTGCAGATTTATTTCTCATCGCTCTTCCTTCAAGGAATCTACAGGCTAGGAAAACTGGGGAACCCTTGATCTGTAATTCTTCCTCAGGCTGTCTCCCATGAACGCTCTTCCTCTCCTCTTCTTTTCACTTTTATCTTCCCTTCAAGGCTCTGGTCAGGAGTCATCTTCTCCATGAAGCTTTCCTTTCCCTGATGTTCCAAGTGAAAGGATTTTTTCCCTCCTCAAACATCACTGGATGCTTCATACATCACTTGTCTCCTTTTTTTTTTTTTGTCTCTAAGTACTCTCTAATTTGTATTATGTCTATCTGCGTATGCCCTTTTGCCCTTACCATGGCAGAACGAAAGTCCTTGAGGATAGGATGTTATTTTATCTTTGCATTCCCAGTTCCTTGCACATGGAAGATTCATCTTTCTGAGTTCAAATCTGGTCTCAGACACTTACTAGCTGTGTGACCCTGGAAAAGTCACTTCACCCTGTTTGCCTCAGTTCCTTCAGTTGTAAAATGAGCTGGAGAAAGAAATGGCAAACAGCTCCAGTATCTCTGCCAAGAAAACCCCAAGTGGGGTCATAAAAAGTCAGATACAACTGAAAACGACTGAACAACAACAAAAAATGAGGATGATAAAAATACCACCTATCTCATAGGGTGCTTATGAGGATCAAAAGAGCTAACATATGTAAAAAAAAAAATTTTGTGAACATTAAAATACTATATCAATGCAAGCTGTTAATTTTATTACTATAAAGTAGATGCTTAACAATATTTTGAAAAATTGAATAGTGAATTGGTCAGAATGTTGTAATTTCTATACAATTAATATTTTAGATTGTTTACTCTGTGGTCTATTTCTTTGGTGTTGGGTATGGTGATGAGGGAATCAAAGTAATTTAAAATGTAGCTGATTTTTAGATGTAGAATTTGACAGAAATCAATAGTTACATGATTATTTAGCATTCAGCCCTCCCTACCTCCACCACACCACATGGATGCCATGATGATCACAGATCTTGAGAATATGGGCTCACTCAGTGATTTGCGAGTTTTGACACAGTTACTACAAAGCGAGTAATCCTTCCTAATGAGCTCACTTGGGGTCAGATACCTCTAAAACACAGAGGCATCTTTTAGGACTCCAATTCCCATAGGAAGGTAGAGAAATAAATCACTTCCCTAGCCTGGTGAAGGCTCCCTGGCAAGTTAACAAGCGCTCAGTCTTGCTGCTAACGCCTTTCCAAAACAACATTGATCTTTGTCCCTCGGGGAGGGGCGCTATCTGAGATGGCAGACCCAAATTAGTCAAGGAAAGACAAACCTTCCTTCAAGCTGTGTATGTGTGTGTTTGGTGGATTAAAAGAGGAGGATTTAAATATCTCAAATCCCAATGAGAGAGACTAAGAGCAAGAATCTTTGGGCAAAAGGTGGTGATAACGAACTCTTTTTTTTAGGGTCTCTTTCTTTTTGATTAATATTGCTGTGGGATTTAGGAGAAAGTACAAGCTAAAGGGAGGAGGAAAGAGTTGGGCTGGAAAAACAAGATGAGACAAGAAAAAGAAGAAAGCCACAAGAAGAGAAAGAGTTAGAGGGGAAATCACAGAAAAATAGAGATTGTGCAGGGGAATAGCCCAGAGTGCAAAATGAGAAAAATACACAAATAAGGTGATTTCTAATTCTGCCCCTTCCACAGTGATTCCAGGAGGTAGGTGGTAGGTTGGTGGTCTGGTCCCACTCCTATTCCTTGTTTGTGCAAAAGACAACTTGTTTTTGTTTTATTTTTATGGTGGAAGATGATTTAGACTTTATTGTTGTTCAGTCATTTTTCAGTCATGTCTGACTCTCCATGACCCCATTTGGGGTTTTCTTGGTAGAGATATTGGAGTGGTTTGCCATTTCCTTCTCCAGTTCATTTTACAGATGAGGGAACTGAGGCCAACAGGGTTCCGTGACTTGCCCAGGGTCACACACCTAGTAAGTGTATGAGGCCATATTTGAACGCAGGTCTTCCTGACCCCAGGCCCAGCGCATTATCCACTGCATCACCTATCGGCCTTGTACAGATTTTTCATGCAGAAAAGAATTTTTGTACTTAAGTAGGACCCTTGTTCTAAACACAGGACATGACAGAAGTGTAATTAGAGCAAAGGGTCTGAACCTTTCTTGTATCCTGGGCCCTTTAGGCACTGTTGAAGTCGATGCATCCTTTCCCAAAATAAGTTTTAAAATAATTAAACAAATCTTAAATTTCAGTTGGAGGAAAATAAAGATATATTTTTTCCTCATCCATGTTCATGGACCCCAGGTTAAGAATCATTGTTTTAGAGGACATCACATATCTATTGGGCCAGAAATTTCCAAAGTGTGCCCCAGGGCCATTCAAAACAGAACAAAGTTGTGGGCCCAAGTGATGGGAACTTAACGGTAACAGTGATAATAACGTCAAAGTCATCATTATAATAAGCATAACAATAATAATAAGGGCCTCCATATTCCCTCTGAATTCAGCCAACATTATGTCAGCCACAAAGTGTGGCCCAAATGGCTATCACAGGAATTTGTTTTCAGAAATAAGGGGGGAGTTTCTGATTGTGGAGCCAGATTAAGTCGCTGCCACCAGAAATTGCAGAGAGGAGCTCCTCCAGACACGATCCTGGGACCAGTCACCATCTTACCATGATTCTTTTGGTTATTGTGCTACAAACTATTATGCAGATGGATAATATGGCCTCTTTTGTAATTGAATAAAAACTTGTCAGCTCATCTTCTGTAGGATTCACTGAAAGCTCTCAAGGACAACTCTTGTAGACAGAATGACGAGAAGGCCCTGCTCTTCAATCTGGCTCCTACGAGGGCTCCCACATTCTTCTGCCGGGTCTCTGCATTGTCTC